ATTTATATTACTTGATTTGATTGTAATTGATTTGATTTATGGTGAAAATAAGTACATACATAAGTTATAAAAAAAGTGCCTGTGTGAAAAAAACTACACCAATTTTTTTACTAATTTATACAAAAAAAATGCGTACACTGGATATGTTGCATTATAAAAAAATAAAAAAAAAAAACTTTCAGTGGTATAAAAAAAGAGTGTAACGAATAGTTTTGATTCATATAATGGGTGTTTATTCTATTATTTTTTTTAAATAAATTTTATTGCATTTTTTATCATTTATTTATTTAATTTACTGAATCTTACTAAATCTATCAAAAATATAGTTGTTATTTTGTCTATTATAAGGCGACAATTTTGGAAACTAAAAATTGAAGAAACCATGTATAAATATGATGAGTTGATGATTTTTTTATTTCACAAACTCAATTATATCATAATTCTTCCTGTTATTCTCCAATCAAAAATTTCTCTCAAAATTTCCATATTTCATGTATTTTTTTATTGCCTTATTTTTTCTTAATATAGGACATTATCTAGTTATCTTTTTTATTTTCCTTACAATCTAATTAAATTTCTTTCTCTAATCTCAATTTTTTTCCATTCATAAAATTTCACTCATTGATTTTTTAATAATTTCTTAGTATTGAAAATTAATAATTTCCAACTCATTTTCCTTAATTTTATATTCCATTTATTTATTTTTCTATATTAGTGAATTAGCCAAATTTGTCAAATTTAATATAATAATAGTTCTAAGTTAGCTTAATAGAAGTTTTTCCTTTTAAAATTTTATTAATAATTTGTTTAGTTAATAAAATTTAACACATTTAAAATTATTATTTATTTCATGATCGGACATCAAAAATTTGTATTATTTTTTTAAAAATTTGCGTATGCCGAACCGATATCGGACACCGTAATGTTCGACCGATCGGTGGCCGGAACCCGTTTGCCAGAAACTTGCGCGAGGTTTAAGGGTCGGGTTTCCGGTTCAAAATTTTAAACCATCTTCGAACTGGCGCGTTCAACTTTGAACGGCCATGCTATCCTAAACCTACAATAATTTATTATTATGAATTCGGAATCAAAATTTTATTATTTTTTTAAAAATTTGCGTAATGCCGGAACCGAATCGGAACCGTAATTCGAACCGTCGGTTGGCCGGAACCGTGCCAGAACTGGAGGTTTAAGGGTCGGTTCCGGTTCAAAATTTTAAACATCTCGAACTGGCGGTTCACTGAACCGGCCATGCCTATCTAAACCTACAAATAATTATTAATTATCATTATAGCAACTGTTAATAGTCATTTTCAAATATCATTTCATTAAAAAAAAATAATTGTTATTGAAATTTTACTATTAGAAATAAATATAATTAACCTTAAAATCAAATAAAATCTTCATTAAAATGGAAATAATGAAATTATGAACTGGACCTAGCTAATTTGGACATCAAGATCCAGCTATTAAATCTTGTGTGGAAATCTTCGGTGACATTTGATGGTTGTACTAATTTTCAATTTTTGGGCATGTGGATTTTAATATCTTTCTATTTTGTCTCCCCTTTATAGCCGCGTTGCTCTCTTCAATTAATTGAAAAGATTTTTTCTCCTTCATGTACAGCTTATCTAGTTTTAATTCCCAACTTGCCTTCCACTCTTGCAAAATATCATATTAATGCCCTTTGCATATCCCATACCTTAGCCTCAAAGGTAAAGTTATTAAGGACATTTCTCACCAAAAACCCTAAAAATTATGACCATTTTCTTTATTTTCAACAATTTTTTCTCCTTTTTTTTTTAAGTATACGTGTCACTATACTCGAGCTTTTAGTGGTATTCATGTAAAACTCTCTCAATAATGGTAATTTCATATTTCAAATCTTGAACTTATAAATTAAATTCTTCTGAAAATGAAACCGCTTGTTATTTTAATTTTACTCTAAATTAAAATTCGTTATAAAATCCGCTTGTTTATAATGTTTTGTTTAATAAATATTTTTAATTTACAAAAATAAAACAACAGCTTTGCGTGTTATTCCATCATAATGTTTCTATCTCCGGAAGGGAAAGCCCTTTTGCCTCTTATGATTGGTTCTGAGTAAGGAGGGATGTGTATTTCTAACATCATGGATCGTAGCTACATATCCTAATTACTTTATAACAAAAATAAGATATTTATAATAAAGTGACTATTTTTTTTTAATTTCAATAAATTGTAATCTTAATAAAATTTTAAAACCTTATTTGGTGAGCCATAATATGATGTTATATAAAAATATATAATTAATTTTTTTATATAATCAGGAGCTTCAATCCCCTCGGACTGTATTGCTTATCACTCAACCAACACCTTATAGGTATAATTTACTAAACAACAAACATGATTTAAGTGAACCAATTTTTTAATTTACCCCTTTTGTAGAATAAAAACCCAAGTATACACTATTATGTATTATAGGGGTCAAATTGACCCATTTCAATCTCAGAATAAATATAGTATGAATTTAATGACATTTACGGATATGCCCCTTGCTATGCAAATAAATAAGCATGTGTATAATAGTAGCAAGTGGCAATTTTCAAACTATTTAGTATTATTTAGCAGAACTCAACTCAACGCCCATGTCAGTATATATGTACCTCTTTGAAACTTTAATTTGCCTCATCTCATAATAAGTTTCACCAGAACATCCCTAACCAACTCTATGACTCAATTGTCACTGACTTTTGAACTATATATGTCTTTACTTCCTCCTAGGGTTGGTTGGTGATAGTGTTTGGGTTTTGGTAGATTTATTAAATCAAGGCTCACCCTTGCTTTCCAGTGACATATCTAAGCTTTTTAAGTTTTTTCAATTTTCCCATTATTATTATTATTATTATTAGGGTAAATAATTATTTAGTCCTTCAGATTTAGTTATAATTATAATTTGGTTCCTATTATAATTTGATAAATACACAAATTAATTGATAGAGTTTAACTCCATTAACCTATTTGGTCTGTCATGCCCTGACTTTAATCAATAGAGGAATTATCCGCTTTAAATTAAACCTATTCCGCACTATCTTGGATTGACAAGATCTGCACGATTTTATCTTGCATGTAAAATAAAGAACTTTTTAAGAGGTCATCCATCGTAAGATTTTCCGTAAGTAAACAGACTTAACCCTGAAGTTTTTCTAATTTTTCAGGTCATTTCACCAAGAAGGTGCCTCTAATGATTAGTTTCGCCCATTTCAATGTATGGTTTAATTCATTCATGTGTCTCGCATTCCACTACCTTAGCTAGCCTCATTATCCTAGAAGCCTGCTGGAAGCTTTCCTCTGTCTGTCCTCTTTAGATTGCTTTGCCGAGTCGAGATATCACATAGTCTTTTCGTTTCAAAAAATATTCCTCCTACCGTTAACCATTGATCTTGTATCTACATCAAATTGATAACTTCATTGTATATGAAAATATTGATATTTCTGCCTACATCCGAACTCAAAAGTTTTTTAATTATATGTTTCTACATATTATTCATACTAGGGATACTTATTAATTTCATTTTTTCTAAAAATGAAAGTATTAGGAAATGAAGACCACTTTATTTTGCATCCACAAAAATCCTCTTAAAAATCAATCACCATTTTGAACCACTCATGACCTATTTTTGTTTCTCTTTTACTCTATCATAGTGGTTATGTGCAAGAAAGCAAAGCCAATGAAACCACAAATGAGCTACTATGTACCATCTTGTATGTAATAATAAAGACAATGAGGAGCCAATAATTTGGAGGCTCTATTATGTGATGCCCTACATCATCAGGTTGCAGCCTATACCTATATAGCTTATAACTTATGTTAACAATTTCATCTACGTCTCCTTTGTATCTTCCATAAATATCGTCAACCTTTCTGTGCTTCAAATATTTTCTTGTCTCCAATACTCTATTTATACACTCTTTAAAGTAATTTCAGACACTGTAAATATAATTAACCCGATAAAATTTAGACTTTGTTTTATTTTTTAATATATATTTTAGAAGTATATAGTCTTGCAATCAATGAAATTAATTTTAAGAAAGGATGGGAAATTCATATATTTTATCAAGACATTTTTTATGATTTTAGTACTTGTATAATTAATTAAATATTTATAAATAAAAATAAAAAAGTAAAATAATTTCAGTTAATTAAGAAGGGTATTATCGACATATCGGGCTTTTCCCCCTCGCCCAAACGGCAAAAACCCAGTGAAACCACACGCGGTGTAGAATTCCAATAAATTTAACGCAAAAAGATAAGACTAATCCCATGCCACGTGACAATCATCTAAACGACCATCTCCGCACGTGCCTGTAGCCTACGTCATCCAACGGCAATAATAAAAATTAAAGGGGCAAAAAACACTAAAAAAAAGGAAAAAACAACCCTACCTTATGCAGTTGCGCCGCGAGTAAGAACCCCTTTTTTTTAACCTCACGTGTGTCGATAACTCTTTACCACGGTCAAGCCCTATTAATTTTAATCTTGTTATTATTAAAATTATTTCCATATGTTAAATTATTTTTAATATAACATATTTGGAGTAATACAATTATTACAAAATAAATGTTAACATCTCAAAATAAAATAAATAAATAAACATAAATGATAAAGTGAATAATTTATAAATAGTAAATTCTCAAAATAAGTAACTATATAAATATAAATAATAAAGTGAATTTGAATTCAAAAGAATAATCCTCGTAAAAACTAAAAATTGAATGAATCTATGAAAATTTTTTTTAAAAACATAATTAATAAACTAATCATACATAATAATAATGATAGTAATAATAATAATTATAACAACTGACTAATAAAAAATAAAATAATCAAAATAAGATCTTTGATGCTAAATTTATAATTTAAAATTGTGAAATAAATAAAAATAATAAAGAAAAACCCTTATTCCTAGAAAATGAGTTTATAACAATCCCTCCCATCATAAATACACCTCAACTACTATCTTTTCCTTTCCATTCTCTCTCAATCTAAACCAAACCAAAACAAACCAGAGCAACAATCACACTCTCTCTCTCTCTCTCTCTCGCAAAACCTAGCTTTGAGTACGGACTGTTCTTGCTCAGAAACCCTAAAAAGCCTGCTACATTCATAGCGCATCTCTCTGTATATCTATTACTATCTCCTTTATTGCCATAGCATCTCCCTCTTCACTTCCATGCCATTTCTGCATCTTTTATTTTCTTCTTCATTTCATTTTTTTTTTTTTTTGGAGTATCTGATTCGATCATAGGCTCCAATTCATTGTCTCTAACCATACAAACACAACCGATCAAGAATTTTATGAGATTCCATTTCTTTTTTGCTTTTTTGACTTATTTTTAAATTCTTTATATTTCCTTCTCTAGATAAAAAGAAAAGAAAAGCTAGCGTTAAGTACAACTGGATTCTCAATTTCTAAAATGTTAGAGTGCGGCGGCGGCCACCGCGACTCCTCAGACGGTGATCTCAGTTTCAAAACTACTAATTCAACTAACAGTTCAATGAGCAGCGAAAGTTGTAGCAGCTACAGTCGTTTATCTTTCGAGCTTCTTACTTCAAGATCCTCACCGGAAAACCTCACTCTCAAGCCTCACCGCTCCTCCGATTTCGCTTACTCCGCTATCCGGTCCGCCACTTTCCGCCGCAAAACTGGTCTCACTTTCCGTGACTTCCGTCTCATCCGCCGCATCGGTGCCGGCGACATCGGCACAGTTTACCTCTGCCGTCTCAATAGAGAGCACAACAAGAACGAGGAGTATGAAGATGAAGACGAGGATGATCGGCTGTGCTTCTACGCAATGAAAGTGGTGGATAAGGAGGCGTTGGCGGTGAAAAAGAAGGTGCAGAGAGCGGAAATGGAGAGGAAGATCTTGAAAATGTTGGATCATCCATTTTTGCCTAGTTTATACGCAGAGTTTGAGGCTTCACATTTCTCCTGCATTGTAATGGAGTACTGTTCCGGTGGTGACTTGCACTCTTTGAGACACAAACAACCTCATAAACGCTTCTCTCTAAGTTCTGCAAGGTATATTTTCTTCTTTCTTCACATCTTTTTAGTCTTTTGGCATTTAGAAAAAAAAGCTGCAAAATTTTTTTTTTTTGAAGTTCTCAATCATTTCCATATGAGAACAAAAGAACTTTGTGTATTTTTACTTATCCACTGCAATGATCGATCTTTTTTGCATGGCTTAGCCTGCGGTGCTTTTGGTTTTTTGTGTTAACATATATACTGATACGTTCTTGTCTTTGTGTCCTTTTATCTCTGCTTCATAAGAAATCTTTAATTCATTAATGCAAAACTTATCATAGTTCGTGATAATTACACTTAATTAGCATAATTATTTGGGTTTGTAAATATCGCTTTCTGGATTCCTTATTTTCATCTACAACAGAGATTATATCTCTCTGACTTAGCCGCAAATTTCCATTATTTGAAAATTTTCCTATTAATGGTATAATGGAATCATCTCATTATAGCTACTTTTCGATCCTAATTTACTACATCAGGCATTGTTCTTTTCCTTTGCATGCAAGAAATCTGGAGATTTGATTTTACAGTGTCTTGTTTCACTTTCTATTCAGTGTTTGGCTTCCGAGAAAATAGTAATAATACTAGACTTTTTTGGTTTCAGATTTTATGCAGCGGAGGTTCTTGTTGCTTTGGAATACCTTCACATGCTGGGAATCATCTACAGAGACCTAAAGCCTGAAAACGTTCTAGTCAGATCGGATGGTCACATCATGCTCTCAGATTTTGACCTTTCATTATGCTCAGATGCAATCCCAGCCGTTGAATCTCCGACGTTCTCTCCGGATTCTACATCTCCATCTGCTAGAACCTATACGCGGTCACACTCTAGCAAAACGTTCTCTTGCCTCCTGAACCGGCTTTTCCGATCCAAGAAAATCCAAACCTTGAACCCCAACCGGTTATTTGTCGCCGAACCTGTAGCCGCTCGGTCTTGCTCCTTCGTTGGGACCCATGAATATGTCGCCCCAGAAGTCGCCGCCGGTGGGTCCCATGGCAACGCTGTTGACTGGTGGGCCTTTGGAATTTTTATCTACGAGCTCATTTATGGACGTACTCCGTTTGCAGCTCCATCAAATGAACTTACACTGCGTAACATCGTGAAAAAGCCCTTGACTTTTCCTACCCATACTCCTTACTCTTCGCTTGAGCACCACGCGCGAGACTTAATTTCCAGGTTGTTGAATAAAGATCCGAATAACAGACTCGGGTCGAAGCGGGGGGCTGCCGAGGTGAAAAGCCACCCATTTTTTAAAGGGCTAAATTTCGCCCTTATAAGGACGGTGACACCACCTGAGATTCCTGGTTTGAGAAGGCAAAGAACGGCACCATTTCACCATGGTAAACCTAAATCAACGGCGTTCGATTACTTTTAAGATCTAGAAGTGCGGATTAGCGCCACGTGTTTAGCAATTCCGCCATATTTTGCCATTGGCGGGCCATATATGTGTATATTTAAGCCTTTTTTTTTTTCTTTCTTTCTTTTGATCATTTGATCTATAAACCATGTTAGGTAAGTTAATTAACATGAAAAATACGCCTAATTAATGATAATTAGTGATTACATAAAAAAAAAAAAAAAAGGAAATTAAAGCCTTTTTTTGTTTCTTTCTTCTTTTTGATCATGTTGATCTATAAACATGTTAGGTAAGTTAAATTAACATGAAAAATACGGCCCTATCATTATATGATAATAGTGATTCACATAAAAAAAAAAAAAAACAAGGAAGAGAGCATTAACAAAAAAAAAAAAAAAAAAGGAAGAGAGATTACGTATTTTGGGAGGTTGTTCAAGACAAAAACCGAGTGAGTGCGGTTCACGTTGCCACATAACGGCAGAGAAAGTTGAATCATGTTGTGGTACTGTAATAACCTAACTGGATTTTCTTTAAATGGAAAGTTTTGGGACAGACTCCATTAACCAAATTTATGTTTAATATGTTGTAAAGTGTGTTTTTGATTTGGATGATAAAAAGAAAGTTGAATATTTAAATAATTTGTAAATTAAACCAAGTTGCATGTGTACGTGTAATTTATAGTAATAGTAGTACTTTTTAAAAAAATATGTATATTTAGATGTGAATGATATTTATTGGCACACATGATTTGATCAGACATTGTATAGTAGTATAATATAAAAATGTAGATGGACATGTGCTGAAAGATAAAAAGTCAAATATATGATTTTCAAGTTGTTTTAGTTTTAATCAACCTCTGAACCTGATTAGAAGGTCAACCATGGATTCCTTTCATTGTCTTCAATAATAATAATAATAATGTATATATCAAATATTAATAAATAATGCTCATTATTTATTAATTGATCTCTATTATTTAATCAACTCATTATTATTAACTATATTCATTGCATTTAAGTTAGTACGATGCTTTTATTATATATATATATATATTGGTAAGATACTTTTCCAACAAATGCAATGAAAGTTTTTATTTGTTTTTTTCCTTTCTTTCTTTATAATTTAAGTATATGATACCTTTGAATTAATTTTTTATGTTTTATTTTATTTTATATAGTCAAAAAGTTTATCATGAATTCACCCTTGAATTGAGGGATTAGTGTTTTCGAGAAAGCAATTTTTGATAGTTAAAATTTAGACTTTTGCCAAAAGCTTTTAAATTCGACTGAAATTATTGGAATTATTTACTAGAAATGGAAGACCTATAATTATTTACTAGAAAGGAAGACCATATATATATATATATATATATATATATATAATACTAGAATATTATAAATTGAAGAGAGTGTTTAATTAATCTTCATTATTATTTATTTTTAAAAAAGAAAACTAACTACGGAACTATATTAATGTTAAAGGGTTTTTTAATATAGACAAAAAATATTTATTGATTTTACAACTAGCAACACTTTCATCTTTAATTGGAGTGATTGAAGTTTAAGATACTAAGACTTTCAACGAGCCAATGCTTCCATTTCTTGATGGAAGTTAAATAGTTTTCTAAACTTTGATAACTAACAAATTGAAATTACAAAATAACGCAAATGTGTTTAAATTTTATTAAAATTAACTCCCTCCCGTCCCAAAAAGAACTATCCCACTTTCTATTTTATACATCAGATTAAAATAATATGGGTTAAAGGACAATTTATTCATATAATTTTTCTATTATGCTCATTTTAAATAAACATTACTCATTGGGAATAAATAACTAAGAATTTAATGTATGAGTTATTGAAATAATGTTGTAAAATTTAAGCGAAGGAGCTATAGCTAAAGACAATTCAAACAGATTGACATAATGCGGAGAAAAGTGAAGAGTAACACTATATTATTGGGACAAACACCAAAAAGTAAAAGATTGACTCTCTTTTTATATTATAATTGAAGAGAGTGTTTAATTAACTCATTTATTTATTTAAAAAGAAAACTAACTACGGAACTATATAAATGTTAGGGTTTTTTTAATATAAAAAAAATATTTATTGATTTTACAATGCACCTTTCATCTTTAATTGGAGTGATTGAAGTTTAGTAATAAGACTTTCACGAGCCAATTGCTTCATTTCTTGATGGAAGTTTATAGTTTAACTTTGGAAATACTAACAATTGAAATTACCAATAACCAAATGTGTTTAAATTTTATTAAAATTACTCCCTCCGTCCCAAAAAGATAATCCACTTTCTATTTTTACACAGATTAAATAATATGGTTAAAGGACAATTTTATTCATATAATTTTTCTATTATGCTCATTTTAAATAAAACATTAGTATTGGAATAATAACTAAGAATTAATGAGAGTTATTGAAAATAAGGTAAAATTTAACAAGAGTATAGTAGACAATTCAAAGATTGACTATAATGCAAAAAAGGAAAGTAAACTATATTTTGGGACAAACCAAAAAGTAAAGATTGACTCTCTTTTTGGGACGAAGGGAGTACATACTACCTTTGTCTCATAATAATTGTTATATTTTGAAATTTCACATCACTTACGAAAACTATTAAATTTTCTTAAGTTACAATAAATTATTGAGTAAATTAACTATATTACTTTTAATTTAATACTAATTTCTCTAAGAAAAATCTTTAAATTGAAATAATAATTATTATTCATATATAAAGGGTAAACATGGAAAAAAGAGATTTATTACTCCTGAAAACTACAAATATAATAAGTATTTTAAAATAAATTATTGTCTTAAACGTGATATTACGGAACGTGTCAAATATAGAATTTGCACGTTTATAATTAGATTATTCTAACCTAGTTTAACTTTTTATTATAGGGGGTCAATGTCCATCATCAAAGGCAAAGCGAACAACATTAGAAGAGACTAAAGAGTTTAACCTAATTCTCCCCTAATTTCTGTACCCTTTTGACCATAATCATATATTTTATAGTTCAATAAATCTAATTATTATGACAAGCTCACAACCTTCTTCAAGTATGTCTGAGTTGGGCCCACTAGCATGAGCTGCGTAGACATATCATGTGGGCAGTAAGAATCGTGTGGGACAGGAGCAGACATCAACGGCTTAGATTCTCATTAGGTATTCCATTTATCAACGTCTTTCTTGTTGGATTACTACTATTATATTATTTTATGATTTGTAAGTTTAAATCATTGGATAATAATAATTTAGTTGAAAAACCAAAGCCAAAAGGAATGATAAAAGGGATGTGAAGGTTCTTTTTTTATCAGTATTATTATTATTATTCTATTCCGTAGCTGAGGTTGTTTAATAGCAACTATTGGACCCTTCCATCCCACGCGATCTACGTGTTGTGCAAATTATCATCTCACTTGCCCTATCCTTTCACCTCAAAAAATTACTTATTTCGTATGTTTTATTATTTTTAAGTGTAAAAATATTTTTTATTATTTGAGCGTTTAGAAAAATATTTTTCTAATTAAAAAAAAATTAAATATTTTTTTAAAAAATAATTTTTCTTTTTTTGGACGCTAACAAATTTATTATAATTTTATAAATTAAAATTTTTTAATTTATTAATTATTAATAGTCACTAACACCATTTACTATTCACCACGGTCACCTCGGATTTTCATAATTTATTTATTTATTTATATTTTTATATCTAATAATAAAATTTTAAAATACAAAATATCTATTATTATTAATATTTATGGTACTATAAGTTAAAAATTTTAATATTTTAAACTAATTTTCTTTATTACAATAAAAAAACAACGGATCTATCTTATGCTTCGACGGAATAACTCATTAGATTGTATAATCCTTCTCAATTATTTCAAAGACGAAAAGATAAAATTAATCCCAAATTTTTTACGTAAAGGAAAAAAGAAGTCTCCCTATGTGACGGCGCGTGAGGATGACGCGCATCTAAGTGGAGAAGATAATAAGGAGAGTAAGAGAGTTTTGACAACACATGGGGATGTCCATGTGACCACCTGCCAACCAGGCAGTTCTACCAGCTCACTTGAAGGCACTGTCCCCTTTCATGTCCGAACCCTACCCCACAAACCCCCAACACGATGCTACCAAATAGCTGTCCCAGTACTGACGCAATCACGTTTTTCCACGTGTCAATTCCCTCTCTCGACCACGTGGCCTTTTCCATTTTTCTGACCCCATCCCCACCCCACCCGCTGCATGGCTCGGTTGTTAGTTGCTCCTTGCTAATGGTTAGAGATGACAAAAATGAGGTGACATGGGCACCATTCAATTTTTTGGAATGCTATTCTATAATTTAATCAATTTAGGTATAATGAATCAGTCAAATTCATTAATCAAACTATATGATATGTGATTTATTAATCAAACTTATGTTGCACATTAATTAAAAATCTAATGATTGGAAAATTATTTATTTTGACATTTCTTAAATTTTAACCAAATTTTAAAATTCTATTAGCGGATATTTTATATTCTATTTTTCAAAAAAATTAGTACCTTCATATTATTATCATTCAAATTTAGCTAATATAGTCGTTAAAAATGATACTGTACCTATTATATGATATTTCAATGCTAACTGAAAAATTTATAATCGACTAAACAAAAGGATCATTCATCTAAATTAAGAAAGATTAATTTTAATTAATTTGAAAACATCACATATTAAAAATTCTGAAATAAGATGATGTAAATATAGAATGGGTATCTCAAAACCTAATTCAAATTCAACCTATTATCATCTCTACTCTAATTAAAGCTTGAAACGGTCTAAAGGCAAGAGGTTTTATGTGGGGACAAGTTTAATTGCCATCTCTAATTTTTAAAAAACAATAACTTCCTTATAGCTTGAAACCAATGATAATGGTGATGATGGGAAATCAAAAAAGACAGGCTATGACATGGGAAGTGGAAGTGTAGGCAATATAGAAAAATACGTTTCTAATAATATATATTATTATTATTATTTTTTATTTTTATAATAAGAGTTGATGAGTAATATTTATTATTTTATTTAGTTTTATTTTATGTTTGTTTAGTTGTCTTTCCCCAATTGATAAGAAGGGGATGCAACTCATTATAGGATTTGATTATATTTTAATATTCATAGTTTATAGAGATTTTGGGTAT